GAGATGCAGGATATCAAAATGTGAGTTCTTGATATATTACAGCCAGACTTAACCATTTAAGTTAAAATCTACATCAGAAAATTAACCAAGTTTGAAGCTGTTTTATTCTGGTTTTCAAGTCTGTTAACAACTTTTGATGGGATACAGAATGTTCTCAGTTGCTACTTGTTCCAGTGTCTGCTAACAGTAGGAAATGAAGAAAGACGCTTTTTTTTTTAATTGCTCGGTCAAAAATTATTAAATGTAGTTGTAAACTAGACCCACAGAGTTCCATCTTTCAGAGTGAATACTGCTCAGTGATAATCTCTTATTTTCCATCTGTAAAGTCTACACCACATCATACTATTATGAAAAAAGGTTACTTTTACAAATATCTTTAAGAATCTTTACTAAAATTCTCATTTCAACAGTTTTATACTTCTAGAAGTTCTTCAAAAACCTCCCACTTCAAAAACGCTCACTGAAAAACCTACTCTGTGCTGCATGTGAGGGTAACATCAAAAGCAACTTGTAAACTTCATTAAACAGAGATACTGAATCACAATTATGCTAAATGTCTGTACTGCAAGACTTGCATGTATGTGTTGGTGCTCTTCTAAAGCTGGCCAAGATCAGCAGTAGCAGACACACCCAAGTTATTTCATATTCCCATGTGATTTCTCAACCACCCTTTACTATCTCCTGCCTCCAGGGCATTAAATAAAAGACAATTAAGCTGCTGTACTTTCTCCTTGACTACTCACTAGACGTTCCTAACTTCTCCGGTACTCTCCTGATTGCTTTCACATCCTTTCATACTTCATTCTTTTCTTTGCCCTCTTCTGCCATTGCTCACTATCTTGCTCAAATTGAGTAGGTGTCTAAAAAAGAAGACTGGTATTGGAAGGCATTTCTGAAAACCTTTTGCTAAGGGAGAACATTCTGGAAAGTATATGAGCAGTCATAAAGTCTGTTTTGTTTCCGATTTTGGATCAAGATATTACACCAAACTATATTTGCTGTTTCAGCATGCCCCGTGTGCCTCATCCTTTCTTCAGAGATGTTTATGGCAGATCTTGAGAGGGGCAGCTAGGTAAAAGTTATCGGATTAGTTTCAACAAAAGCGTGGGGAATTTTATAACCAAGACTTTTCTAACAGTGCTGTTCTGTACTGAATAATGCTGTGATCAAAATACGAAGGCTGGGCCCAGAGCACTAACTTTTCAACTCAGCCTAGCTGCAGCCAAAACAGAGTAGGACAGCAGCCCCAGGTAACTCTGAGTAAAGAGAGCTCATTCTGCTAGGAAATCTGCAGGGGCAGAAACCTCCACCAACAAGGCTGTAACACCTTAAGCCACTACAGCTGCTTGTAAAGTCAATGTCTGACTAAGGCCACAGCACAAGAACTGGGATAAATACATACTTTCTCAGGCAAAAAGCTGTTCAGATTACTGACTGTACAAATCAAGTCCAGAAAAAAGTTTTGTCTGAGCAAAGCAGGTTTTGCACACTTAAATTTCAAGCCCTTCTCTACTGATAACCCAGTCATACTCTCCTTCAAAATCCTCGTTTGTGACACCATGCCTAAAATTCACCTATCTAATCTTACAGAGAGGGCATGCCAGTGTATTTGTTCTAGAATGTACTTAAACATATTAAGGAGTAAGTAATAGTTACTTGCTCTTATTCATTGCTGCTGTATTTTCAGTGAAATCAAATCAATTGCAGCAGGACTGAATTTGACCCTGGCATGTATTTGCACCATAGATCTCATTTTAACCTTTGCTATCCTGTATTGTATATTCTTGGGGCAAGGCACCATAACAAGGTGGAAATGCAGCACACATAGCCATACTTTTGCCAGTTGCACCTTGACACAATCAGCAAGTCTCTTGAAAAAGCAATGCCAAGGGTTTCAATGCAGAGTATCAGCCAGTCCAAAAGTATCCCGAGTCCAAATACATTCCTGGTGTTTTTCCTTCTGTTGTCATCTGCACTAACTAGAATAAAACTAGCACATGTAAGCTCATCTCTGCTGCCACCCCATGCAAATTTTGTTTCACAGGTACACCTGTAACTGGTAGGCACACGTTCCTCTTTTTGAGGATGCTACTGCTGAGACAAGTATCTGGCTTTTTGCAAAGCTTTCAGCTTGGACCTCTGTTGGGTAACTTTAAGCAGGCTACAGGTATTTCCAAAAATATGGAGTATCTTTTTTTTTTTTTTTGTACAGAAAGGATATACTAGCTATGGGACCAGAATATTGGGAAAAGGAGGTAAAATTAAGTCTAAATATTCCACTCTCTCCTAAACACTCACTTTACCAGATGGGCAGGCAAACTGCTTGCAGCAAGCCTCCCAGAATCTTCCCTTCTCAATTCTGGCCTCCCAGCTTTCCAGTCATGCAGTCAGGTCCAGCTTCCACAATTCATTCATTACGCTCCTGGGAACCTCTCAGCCCATTAAAATTTTCAGTCTCAGCACTGCATGGGAATATTTGTAGGGATATTCCTTAGCTGAGCCACCCTTTTACATTTTTTGCTTTGTTTCTTTACACATTATCCTCTTGTGGGGGGTTACTTCTTGTGAAGTTGGACCAAACGGGCGGAGTACACATATTAAAAAAAAAAAATATCTGAATTTCCTAAGTCCATTGATAATAAAAACTACCCAAAACTCCTACAAATGGGAAAACTTGATAGTGGCCACCAGGAGTAACTTGTCACAGAAAGTATGTGTAACACAATGTCTTTTTAACAGGATGGCTGTTGACATAGCAGGTTTTTTTCCCCTTCAAGAAATTAGAATAAAAAAGCTGGAAAAATATCTTTGGTTTCTCTCTGATCTACTAAAATCTCAGTTGCACAAACAAATAAAAATTCCTTAGCTGACTCTTAGAGCTGGCATCACATACACGTAATAAATGAATTTCAGAGGCTTCCACGCCCACCAGCAGGCACTAGCTCTCATTTCTTTAGACAACTTCATTAAGTCCTGAAACTATTTTTCAGCCTCAGAATAAAAATCCAATATATTCTTCCTGTATATAAAATCCTTGTGCTAATTTTTCTGAAGACTGGTCCATCTCTTATTAGTCTATACAGATCTTAAATTCAACCTGAATTTATCACAGCTCTGCTAATACTGCTTTCCGTAACAAGAGCTAAAATCTTGCCATTGTGCAATGCACAAGAGACTTGAAGAGTCACTACCTTAGCGCGTACAAAGCAGTGCATTTAAATACTTAGCACGAGCAGGGTTGCAGAAAAGCAGCAAGTGTTGCTGCTCACAGTACCAAGCAGTAACAGAGCTAATGAGCTATAAGACTGCCTCAGTTTAAAGATCATGTAGATTTGCTTCAATTTAATACAAACTGGAAGAATTTGGCTGCACCTATCTGAAACACTCTATAAAATGGTAGTATAATGGAAAAATACGTATTTTGGCATGCACACAGGCACGTAAAGGTTTTTAATCAGGATATCTTTATCACAGTCATGAAATACCAATTAGGCAGTGCTGAGAAGCACTGGTGCAATCATCTTCACATTCCAGCCCAAATGAACTGAACTGACCACATCCTAGCAGTGAATGAAATGACAGTATCATTATAAAGATGTGCAGCAAAACCAATCAGTGCCACCAACACCACAGCAGAGCATGCAGTTATTGCTACATTTTGGCTTACCTACAGATGCAGACCATCTCTTGCAGTCTGGCTGCCTGCTCCCTGCCAATTATGGTGCTTTTACATCTGACTGCAGCGAGGCAGGAGCTACAATAGAAGCAGGTCAGGCCAAATTATGTTCTTTATACAATGCTATTTATCAATGTGTATTTCCTTGCTGAGGCAAGTACCTCCAAAATGTCATGAGAGTACTGAACAAGCCCATGGTCATGGAAAAAATGCTTTCAGAACCTCTTGCTACGAAAGATACAGTACACAAAACAATTAGAACAGCAATTCCAAATGCGGAAATAAAACACCGCAATTAATACAGCTGGTCTCCCTTCCTTCTGGATGTATCCCCAGCACCATTTTCAGCAATCCTCAATATCCTCCATCTTTAAGTGTGGGAGCTTTCCTCATCTTTTGTTTATGACATTCGTATTTGAGCAAACTTACCCATCCACAAAGCAGCACAAATGGCTTCTGCAGCTGCATTTACAGTGAGGACTAACAGTTCAGAATTGTCTTTACATGTCCCAGTGTGTTCTGACATCTGCTTTTCTAAGTTGATTTCAATATAAATTTCACACAGAATGTCAGTGTCCTACCTGTTGAGGTTCCTCTCCTATTACTGCCCACAACATGACCCAGCAGATGGTAAAAAGGAGAGTATTATCTTAACTTGCTCCAGAATTCCTCCATGCCAAATGCAACTTGGACCCGGAAAAGGGTCTTCACCAAGATAGGAAGTAATTTCAAATTTTATTAGCTTTCCAGAGCATACTGCAGACACTTTTCCTTTCCTTGGCCTTTCAGGGAAGAAGCTGAGCTCTTGGCTTTTATGTGAGGATGTTATTTTTTTATATACAAACAAGCAATGCTCAGAAAGGGGGGAACTAATCAAAAATTATCAAGTTGAGGCACTTTAATTTCTGGGGGAGCAGTCAAAAAACTACATCAACAGACCTTCATCGAGCAGAGATTCTGAATGGAGAAAGACCATTTCACTGGACCATGTCATATCCCAGCACCCAGCCACAAGGAGAAAGTACACAGAGAGAAGAGCAGGCAGTCATTCTCATTTTGCCCTAAAGAAAGCAAATTTCCACAGGAGAAGAGAGACTCAAAAAATCTTTAATGCAGGCCAGGGCAGCCTTGGAGTATGCCACACTAGCAGCCTCATAACACAGCTGGAATGGGTCAATGGGTCAATGTCACCACAATGAACCAGATGCTGCAAAATGAGAGGCTGTTTTCTGTCTCCACTCTTATCACCTCTGAAAAACAGTGAAAACCAAGGAGAGACAAAGCAGAAAGAAAATAGAAATTCCTCTTTGGTTTTAATTTTTACCCAGGCCAAGGCACAAACCTACTGATGATTTCATGTCCGCTTCCTTTGCATCATCGATGATGCTGTAAGCAGAGGATAAAAGGGTAGCACTCAACATATTATACACTGCAAACTGAAATTACAATAAAAGCAAAGATGCCTTTATGAACAACAACAAACAGAAATCCCTGTATCATCCTTTTAGTTTATGATACAAAGAAGTGCTCCCAAGGAGAGACCTCAAGACTGCAAGAGTCATGTTCTGTTTGCTTTTTTTCAGATGAGATAGGCATTTAATCATGTGCCAAATTTGTAACTTGACCACATAAATACAATTTCAATAAACAGACATTTATCAGCTATATTAAAAAATAAACCTTTCAAATAGATACAATCCTCTAGGAAAAACATTTATTCAACTAATTTACAGAGTGAGCCAATTAAGGCAAAATATATTACTTGGAAATAGACAGGTTTTCACTGGGTACAAATATGAGCTGGCTTAACAGTACATTGTATATAAAAATGTCCTTTGAAAGCATCGAAGAAAGGTAAAGGCAGAACAATATAAGCTGAAAAACTCCTTAAGGCAAACAAAAAGTATTTGTTTATTCTTTGTTTCTTAAAAAAGGTATTATTACCAAAATATTTTTTTCTCAATTACTTCCATATTTCTAAATAAAGATTTAAGATTGTGTCAGCATGGATAGACAGCATTTATAGCCATGAAAAAAACCAGACATCACTGAAGACTTATATGAGAAACAGTGAGCTCATGACATCAAGAAGGCATTTAAGACTTAAAAATGCTTCAAAAAGCCAGGACAGCAAAGCGAGTGATATATGTCTCTCACCAGTTTCCACATGAAGTTGCTGACAACCATAACTTGATAGAAGAAATTACATAGTTCCATATAAAATATGAAGTTTGGAAGCACTGCAGTAAATTATGTTGTTGAAAATGCTGAAATAAGTTCATGTGTATGTGGTACCTGATCTAAAACCCACTGAAGCAGCTTGAAATTTGTCTCATGTTTTAATTGGACATGAATTTCACTACTGTTACATAAAAAGAAAAAAGATGCAGCATGGAAAACAAGATTTCAAAATTATTTAGCAACAACTTCAACTAATGGGGCATGGATTTGTGCTCACTGTTCAGCAGCTCACTGTTATGTGTTGTAAAAACTACACAGCATCACTCCTGAGAATTTATATACAGACACCAAACCTGTGAGGTGTTAAGAACCAGCTAAGCACAGGCCCCAAGAAAACATCTAATACAGTTTCTCTGGACTGAAATGCATATATAACGTACATGTTTTGCTGTCAACATGTTTATATTATGAATATAATAGAAATAGCTAAACAATGAACCCCCTCTTTAAAAAAGTATACTAACTAAAATATCTCAGCAAATGCTCAGTAAGGTGTCAAATAATAGCACATTCCACTTTACAAATTGTAATGCTATTTGTCCCAGTTATAAATATGTTTATTCTGATTTCCTGTTTGGTGAATCATATTGGAAATCATATAGTAGTTGAAAATTGCAATTACTCATTTCCACCACTGAAAATTACCATCACTTCTTAAAAAGTAAAGTACAGTTTATAGTTAGATTACAAATCTGTGTTGTACCAACTGAGAATTAAAGTATGTAGCTTTCATTTCAATTCTAGAATCAAACCCAGTATTCCTTAGTGTCATGGATCAGCCTTCTTTCAAACGGTCCTGGGTAGTAAATGTT